CACAGCCAAGCAGAATCAAGTGGGCACAGCACAATCAACGTTTTCATAATATACCAGGCTATTACTGTTAACCATCAATGTTTAACTGTATTCTTATCAATTTTGACTTAGGTTGGAGTATTTAACAGTTTAAACCAAACGCACAATGCATATAAAATTAAAGATCAAAAATAAAACTTTAAATATCTAGATTTTCCATCACTTTGTGAAATTCTGTATTTACTCTAATGCTTCTTGCTCTTTAGAATATATGATACAGTATGATGTACAGTGTACGATCCTTGTAGTATGTTCATGTTTATAAGGGATGCACATGCTTCCATTGCCAATAAAGATTTGGAAAGTCTTAAACAAGGTTTATTTTATTACATAATAGCCTGGAGACTCTCAGGAACACTGTGTTGTACATGTTTGTTGATTTAAACTCAACTGTCTGAGGTGGACAGAAACGTCTGGCCATCTGCTTGAGAGCAGTTGTCTGTTTTTGCATTTCTGCCCTCTTACCTTCAGCAGCTGGAGAATACTGCAGGTTTGTTGAGGCTGAGGATCCTACCCCAAACCATGCATCCTTCTCAGGGTCCAGGTGTCTCTGTAAGAAATACTGAGTGTCTTCCTGTGGGATAAATGTGAGGTGTCCCCCACTTTGCTCACACCAAGCCTGGGCACTGAGAAAAGAGAGCGGGAGACCCACAAACTCATAGCAGGAGTCTCCAAAAGCCTTCTGGTATTCTGGACAGGAAATAATAACTTCCAGCTCATCTTCAGCCAGAAACAGACAGCTGAGCGTCGCCAGGATCAGCAGCTGCAGAGCCATCCAGTGCATCCTGCCTAGTCTCACTTCAAAATCCAAAAGTTCAATCTCTCTCTCTCTCACACACACACCCTGGTGACAACCTGCACTTAAACAGGTCTGACATGAGCCTCTCTCACACATCCTTTTTCTGGGTGCTGTGAAACACTGTTTATTTAAGAGCCAAGCGTTCTCAAAACCCAGTCAGCACAACCCCTTTGTCCACAGACAGAGCTGCAACAAAAGGAACACTATAGGAGAGTAGTTACAAACAGACAGTGTTACCTAAGGTGGGGTTTTTACTAATAATTTACATAAAAAATGACAATTTGAACAGCTGTTTGTTGTGAGTTTCTAAGTGATGACAACCTGAGTGAAGATAAGTGGATCTCGGTTCAATAGAAAAAAGCCTTTCCTCGAGTGTTAAAACTTTTTAAATTGAAGCCATCCTTTATCTATAATTTATAAACTTGCAATTTATTTAAGGTTCGAAGTAGATTTCAACTAAAGTACAATAAAACTACAGAAAATCAAAAAAAGGTTTAGGATTTAAAGCAGCTATAATGAATATTTTGATATCAACAAGGTATCGACAACTTGTATGTGAAAGCTGTCATTTATAGTGATCCCACAAAGAAATATTATCTGACCACGCAGTGCTCCCCATCTCTGTGGAGCCTCTTTCAACTCATTGTTTCGGTTTGCTCACCTGCCATTTCACTGTTTTGGCCATCACTTTCTTCAACATCCTGTAGCTGACTCACGAATGCACAAAGACCTTTTGTCAAATAAACGAGCATCTGCTCTCTGTGATGCAGTCATGATGGTTTTCATTTCCTGGTTTTGCTTTGAAGGGCAAGAAAGCAGGAGTACCTTCTTGAAATCATCTCCCGTGGTTTCTCCAGTGTAAAACATGCTTGGATCAATTGGTACACTAAAAGCAGCGATGCACACAGTTGATTGCTTCATTGATTGCACAGTAGGTCAGAACTTCGTTAAATGGCACAGAACCGTGTGCTATTGGCCACAGTCTTCAACCATTTCCAAAGCTGCTGTTACTTGTCAATCCAAGAGGCAAAATAAGAAAAAATAGAGTAATAGAAAAAATAAACTCTTGTTCTAAGTTTACCGTTAGTTACAAAGTGCTTTAGATGCAATTCAACTAAAACTAACTAGTACACAAAGAACAGTAAAATGAACAGTTTAGACCTAAATTGTGCACATGCTACCTGTTCAAATATACAGTACATTAGTCATTCTTTGACCTGACCCTCACCTCTGGTTAAGTCAACAGGAGGTTCAGTAACTACTCCCAGTAAGGACCTCTGAGCCGTTCCAACCTCTCCATCCTGCCCAGGTGATTATCTGTGCTCGACTAAATTACACAGTAAGATAAAATTTGTGTTTATACTTCTGGAGGAAGACAATGAGGGTCATGCTCTTCACAATTACATTGTAAAACCACAGCTGGTAAAAAGGATGAGATACACACACACATTACTCTGTGTTTATTTTTCCAGTTTCATTCTCACTGCTTACTGGCATTCCTTTTCTTATTTAGCCTCTTTCTCTGTCTGAATCTTTGTCAGTACTCTATATTTCTGATATTGTTCATTCTCATCAATCGTCCTTAATGGCTTTTTAACATATAGTAGATGTGTCACTGCAGCTTTATTCCAGCAGGCTTGTTTGTGGTGAAGTGTATTGTGAGATAAAATAATTCATTTACAGCAGACTGGGTGCGCATGAACAGCAGCAATCACAGGCGGTGACGTGCGGTCAGGGGAGGCAGGTGAGGCAGAGCCTCCCCTGTCAATCTTGAAAAGAAAAAGAAGTTAACCATAAAATATAATAAATGTTAATATTTGTCGGCTGGTGTGTGTTGTAGGCCCTTTTGCCGTTCGAATCCGATGTTGAATGATTTTTTTTTCAATAAAGAATAGCAGAATTTCCGTATGTCCCGTTCAAATACATGGAGGAGATGCACGATGAGGCAGCACTTTGCTGTGCCTCTCGGTGGATCGTGTAATCCTCACAAACTGTATACGATGCAAATAGTGTGTCGCTGTCCCTCTATATATC